ATAGGTGAATCCTCATAATCTGTATCGCATATGGACGCCAACCTAGCAGTATTCATGAGTGAAAACGCATAGAATTATGAATATAAGGGGCCGCTGCTGGTCATTGTATCGGGCTGCATTGCATAGGTAAGGTCCCATAATCAGCGTCGCACATAGAAACGCACCTGGCAGTTACGATATGTAGTCCAGGTGAATGAAAACGGCAATCGTTATCATGGCGAAAGCTTCATGGTGGTCACCACATATAGAGAGTCGCAGTCATAATCGAAAGGATACCTGGAGCTATCTCGTGACGGCGTGGTATGTATAGGCTAGATATGCACATCCGGGAAAGAGGAGTGTAACGGCCGAACGGTATCTTCGAGTGACGCGTAATACCAGAACCTCCGGGTAGGCAAAACAAAATTGGAGCTGGGTTTCTATACGGCACTATTAAGGTAAGAGAAATTCACAATTTGTACAAACCTCGACAGTAGATACGCGTCCAAAACAAACAGTCCGCTTGGGCTACAAAAGTGCAAAGCAATGGAGCAAACAGGCTCCCACGTGTGAGTCACACGTGCAAAGTCAGATGCAACTGGTCGGATGACCTCAAGGCCAAATGGGTGAAGTGGTAAGGACAAACAAACGTCAGTTCATATATACACACTAAACACAAAAGTGGGGCGGAGATTACAAATGGGGGCAGAATAAACGCGGGGAATTTCATTGTCAACATAACTGATGATACAAGGATAATTGAAACAACTGCCCCTCGCGTTGCCACTGAGCATTTTATGTTATTGTCTTCCAGTGTCGTATTTATTGGAAGTTGAGATCCACAGGAGAGTGTGTTGTGACCAGGTTCGCCGAACGAAATGTAGTTTGCGATTATAATCGCATTTGTTAAAGGTGCGGCGTGTAAAGCAAACAAACGTCAACAACCGGTCTTCCGGAATGAAATTAGCATTAGATATTCTTCGGATGTTTCCACTTCCTACAGAACACTGAAGAACGCCAAAATATTTTAAGGTGCCATTTGGTGTTTTATGTCACGTAAACCGGTAAGAAACTGCGAATTGGCGATGGTCCGCGACCTTGAAATTTCGCTGACTTAAACAACTTGCCGCAAGCGACATGTCACTGAAAGGTACAAACTGATTAGACTAACTTACCGTTAAAGTCGCAACTTCCAAAACACTTTAGTTTCGGTGAAGTTAATTTGGGTGTGCAAATAGCCATTGGCTCCAGAATGTTGTTACCTCAAACTTTCATATATGACGCCCCGTGTATGTTTTTCGCCTACTGTTTAGTATGCTGTGCACCTTTGTTAGTTTTCCGCCAAGCCAGAATGTTGTTACCTCAAACTTTCATATATGACGCCCCGTGTATGTTTTTCGCCTACTGTTTAGTATGCTGTGCACCTTTGTTAGTTCTTCCGCCAAAGCCGTTAGCTTGGAATGTTCAGACCTAGAACTCAGTTCATACATTAACGTTTCTACAAACTTGGAGCTCTCCAATGGCCAAACACCAAAGAGGGTGTGACAAGAAGCCGTCTACTTTCAAATCAAACTCGATATTGACGAGAACTTTGGAACCCTGATGTTTAGCTAGGGTTGCTGATCTGGCATCCGCAGGTCCTGCCGTTATCGTCTTTAGAGAGAAAATGACGGTACACTTGTTTTTGGGGTGAACTGACCAAAATTGCTCCGTCCTGTGGCATGCGCCTTGCACTCACAAAACTAAGGGCGTGACCCTGCATATGCAGTTATTGAACACGCTACTTGCAAGTCAGAGCTACACTAGAGAATAACCCGTCGTGGAAGTCGTGGAAGCTCAGATTGTAACATGCCAGATCTAGTCAGTGCACAGTTTCTCAAGGGTTTGAGGGTGTTTGCTAAATTGTGACACCCGTGGCGACAAAGGTGATTATCCCTAAGACTCAAGGAGCCTATATATGCGCCTAAAATACAGCTTACCTTATCGTGTGATTATGAGGCGTCATTCCTGCGATAAACGGAATTGAGACGTCCCCGAGTCTCTGCCAACCGTTGGCCCGGGGCCATTACCGATGAACAATTGTGCCCACAAACGATCGTATGATTAAACGACACAAGGTTCGAGGTAGCCTGATCATACGCCACACTAGTAATCCGTTCGACTAGTGCCCTCTCCGAGAAACCGAAAGAGCGAAAATCTATCAGTGTACACGATCGGGTAATCATAAGGGGAACAAATGTTTACAACCATTGTAATTAAAATTGTCTTAGCTGCTCGCAACAGTGCCGACAAGAGAAATGTTCACCATTCAAAGATTATTTTGCATAAGTAATCAGCTCATCGGAGGTCTTTTGAGCCACAGACAATTTTTTCTCACTTATAAATCAAAATGATCAGGTTTTCGCAGGTTTTGTGCCAAACTGAGTGGTATCCACATAAGGTGTCACAGACGCACTAAGTTGGAAACGCTGACACCGACACGCTACTTTCGATCGCATGCAGAGAATAATTTGCTAAAGTTACGTGAACCATAAAAATTCATCTAATCTTCTTTGAAGCTTCAAGTGGACGGGAACATCACAATTTACCTTAGTTTTTCACAAACGAACATTGATACAACTGACCGTGAATCGGGAAAATTGTAAGTAATGCGACACCTCCCATTTAATGTTCGTTATGATAAAAAATTGACGTCTGCGATGAAGCCCGATGATTGTGTTTCATTGAGGCATGCGAAAAAAAACAGAATGCACACGACATTCATCATGGCTTTGCTGGGTTCCTTAACGTAATTTCGTCCTCCAAAAATATGAAAATGTGTAAACGTACCAAATCGAGGTAATTTATTATCGAAACCTAACTCCAGTGTACCAAAGATTTTGACCGGTACTGTGAATCAAAATGATGCAAAAGTAGGGTGCACAAAGACTCCTCCTGGATAAATTTTTCCGGAGTTCACATTCGAGACAGAGAAATTCCGCTGCATGTTTGATTTTTAGATTGGTTGGAAATCTGAATTTATAGGGGTTAGAAAGTTTGCCTGACTCTGATATGCATCTCAGCATCAGTAAGTTTTTTCTAAAATTCGCACAAAAATCTAAGCAGCACATATCGATTGACCTAATCATCCACTAAGGCATTTTTGTGAATACACTTACAGCTAGGAAGCGTACTTACCTGGCCTGCACATTTTTGGGTACACATTCTGGATTTGTCGAAAACAAAAGGCAGAGTTTTCTACGCAGGTGTTGCCCACCCTTGTATTATTTGAATGCGAATTTTCGCCTAAATCACCGTCACTTTGGTAAGATTTGTGTAAAAAAAAGTTGGGTCACGTTTCGTCATTTTTTGCTCTGTGCCCTTTGTAACTTTCACCTGCGTGGCCGCCGATCCGCTTGGCGGTATTCACGAATGTACGTTCTATGCTACTTTTGGAATCACCCAACACATCCTTTTAAAGGATAACCTATTCCATCTCTTACTGAGAAAACTTCCTCCATTAGAGGAACGTTTGATCTACTGTCTTTTGAATGTGCAAGAACCTGGGTAGGTAGAATGATATTATGGCTTCTAATTTTTCAATATTTTGTTAAAAACCGCAATTGTTATTGTCGTGCGCGCATCCCAAACGTTACACTGCGTGATTCAACAAGATATAAATTATTTCTTGCTGAATATTTCTGGTTCCAAATTCAACTAAACAAAACACAGTTTTCAAGGCAACTTTATTCAACCCGTCATAATCGTTCTTAATGATGTCTCTAAAACAAGAGATCCCGCATTTCTGGAGTGGTCATCGATACCGGGATACCGGACAGATCAGTTCTAGACCATCAGCGGGATTTTGTTAGATAAGCGAGCGAACAGATTCTGGTGCTCGTTGCCGGACGTGATATTTGCCATTCCTGAATATTATTTCCAGATCAATGCTACTGTTTTTGGCAACATACCTTGCCGTATGGGCACGGCGCGACGCTTTACAGAAATATTACAAATAGCGCTGACTAGATATTGCATCTTTTTTGGTGCTGTTGATCTACGGAATGCTTCCTTCCCCTCCCTTGGTGAAAACGTGCGTCCAAATCATATTGGTCCTGTAACTTCCTAGAAGGCAGAATAGCCCCTTGTTCATAAATATTCAAAGAAGAATAAATGCCTGAATATGTTGCCCTGCGTCGATGTTGACAGTGAGCCGTCTTGTTGTAACGGAATATACCACTGGTGAGGCGTCTAAGTGGTCTATTGTGGTTTTCCCAACTAGTTTAATTTGTTTCACGAGGAACGTAACACGCGAAGAGTGGGTTAACAGCCTCTGCTTAGTCAACCGTTTACCCGTTTTAGATATCGTATGAGTGGCCAGGCCGCTGACAGCAACGCGGATCAATATAATTGAGTCCGTGTGTATCATCTGTTATGTTGACAATGAAATTCCCCGCGTTTATTCTGCCCCCATTTGTAATCTCCGCCCCACTTTTGTGTTTAGTGTGTATATATGAATTGACGTTTGTTTGTCCTTACCACTTCACCCATTTGGCCTTGAGGTCATCCGACCAGTTGCATCTGACTTTGCACGTGTGATTCACACGTGGGAGCCTGTTTGCTCCATTGCTTTGCACTTTTGTAGTCCAAGCGGACTGTTTGTTTTGGACGCGTATCTACTGTCGAGGTTTGTACAAATTGTGAATTTCTCTTACCTTAATAGTACCGTATAGAAACCCAGCTCCAATTTTGTTTTGCCTACCCGGAGGTTCTGGTATCACGCGTCACTCGAAAATACCCTTCGACCTTTACACCGTGGTTTGCTGTTATTATTTACAATTCCACGCACCTGAGCAAAATGTGGCCACTTTTTCCAGTGCAGTTATGCATGCGCTAAGCAAGGATACCCACTCGTGTGATTTCACGCAAAGGCGTTATTTAGGGTGAAGATATTCGAAAAAGTTAACGCACTGTTCTCCTCGGGAAAGCGGTGGGTTCAGACCACCCATATCTTGGGCAGCTAGCAATTGTATCAGAAGTTCCTAGTATGCCAGAACCGTTTGCGTGTCGGGGCAGCTCTGCTGTCGGACAGATACTGAGTCTCCACCTGACAAAGGATCCAAACAATAGCATGATGCAACAATGGCCTGTGGCCGCTCCACCCTTCGGTTTTCAGTCATGTCCAGCCAGTCGTCACCAGCGACCTGCAATCCGCATATATGAGATAACACTCAAGTTTAAGCAAATGCTGATCAGCTTCTCTTCTTTAACTGATGCGCTGACCTCGTCAGTCTTAGTCATCGTGCCATATCGCCACACGGAGGTACTGTCAATCAATGAAATTAAGGCTTGGTGAATTGAGGATAAATGTTTAATACGTCATTTGAGAGGATCTTTCAATACAAAAAATGCACAATGAGTTAACCTCACCATTTCAGAAGCGCTTTGCCCTGACCTGTCTAATTCTTAGGACCCTAACCATATAAAGGCTCTGATCCGTCCATTCTTCATTCCCACCTTCGCTGTTTGTGACCCTGACCATGGGCCCAACGGCCCAAGGCCACGAGGCCTCATAAGTGGTTTGGGTTTTAGTTCAATGTGACAGGTTGGATTTTTCCATCTCTGCCGTTAACCAGATCTGATGTTCTAGTTCCCTATTTTCCGCACTTTACACTTTTCTTGTAACATGTCAGGCTGGAATCCTCTTTTTTGCCCTCATTCGTATAGTATTTGTCCGCCAACTTCAAATCCTAACGATCTTATCTTGCTTGATGTTCTCTCCAAAGGACATAGTAACTGTGCTTCATCTCTCGTACCGGTTTAGTGGTGGCAACGTCTACATCGGACAAATCCCACCGCCTATGACGCTGTCCTTTTCTCAAAAGGCCTCGTACCCATAATCCCCGCCAGTCATGCTTTTATTTTTAATGTAATCATATGATCATGCCTGACGGCATATCATTCACAAGTTTGGTATAAACGTTATTATTAGTATGGAAGATTGCCAAACAACTGAAGATACGCCAAAATATTCTGAATGTGTTCAAGCAGTTTGCTTCAGACCATTACGCTGTCAAAAACGATGCGCCTTCCATGAAAAATCCAAATGTCCACGCGGTTGACTTCGCAGTCCCTTCATAACAATATAATAAAATACTAGTGGATAATGAGACGCTGAACTCTAGTGATTCCGTAGTTTCTAACAAATTTTCACGTATCAGCTGTAGTCAGGGAGTTCAAGACTACATTACGCCGCGCGATATAGTGTAGTATACTTTAAGCAATCATTGCTACAAAGTTCGCATACATATTGGTTGGGCAATGCGTTTATGTTTAGTGCAGTATACGAAGCAGGGCATTTGTGCTTTCGCAAGGACAGTTCTTCGAGTGGCCGGAGGCCAATTCCTTGCTAAACTCTAGTAACGGTCTTTCAAGCAGAACCAAGGCGCCCCAAATGTACTTTAATTGATATCATTTGGTCCAGGATTCATTAAAAATAGGTTGCGGAGTATAGCCTTTATGCCTCCTCAAGGACAAAGATTAGGTGCATCAACATCAAGGCTACCCTTCAGTTACTTTGTGCTGTTTTTGTTGGAGTATTTCTTGGGGCCGCACATCAATCATTACTCAGTAAGCTTTGCCACAACTGCGAGGAAGTAAGAGTTATCAACAAACCCCATGAAGTTCATCTTCAAAACCATCGTTTCCGACAAAACTCGGACCCGGTACTGCTATTTCAAAAGCCTAATAGGTGTCAATCAGTACAGACGGCTACAAGCACAGTGAGGTCAGTAAACTTTTGGACCTTCTGTTGATTTTTTCTCGATCACTCGGAGCTAATTTCCACCTGTTCAGGGAGAATCTTAGGTGCTCAGTTGCATGTCATGGTATATAGCGTCTGAAGTTAAATAGCAAGATTCTGTACAGAGAGATGGCAGATACAAAGCAGCCTTGTCCTCAGCTGAAAAAAACCGACTTCGATCCCCTAATTAATCCATTAGATTATGTTGATTTTGATATGCCTGGTGGTACCCGGGTTGAAATTATCGAGAACCCACAATGCTCATGCTTTTTCCGCAACCGGTCTAATTTTGGTTCAGGAATCTGGTCCCATTGCTTTTCAGGCTTTACCAAGCACAAAAAACCTACCTTCGCGGGTCTATCACAGCTTATCTTTTAGAAAAGAAGAACATGACACTGGGATTAATACTTTTAGCGTGTAATCAGGGCGGCGTATGGCTGCAGAACAAAGGAGGGAACGTTAGTCCCCAAAGTAATGGGTTGTAAGCATTACTGTGACGTCAAAGACCATCAGGTAATTTTTAACACCCTGTATCAGGTAAGCCACGTAAAATCGGTCCGTGCGCTTGTTCCTGAAGCCATAGACCTGGATTTTTGTTAGTTATCTCTGAATTCAGTTAATAAACGAGCAGTTGATAGTTGACGAAAGGAATGTTCCTCATTATTCGTTGTTGCGGGCGTAACGTGATCCCTATGATGCAGCGTGCAATAGGATCCGATGGGCCCACCACTGGCCAAAGGTAGACTTGCGTCTCAGTGGAATTTAACGCTGTCACGCAACAGCCATTCGGGTTGACATGTAAATACACCAAAGTGTATTACTGCACACATGTGTACAGAAATGTATTTGATGCTGGCATAGTTATGGCCGATAGTTCAGTGCGTGTTTATGCGGTTAAGTTTGAGTATAGGTAGGGGCAACAGTGGTGGCTATGTTCCGCCCGGTGCTTGCATTTTAGTATGTGTGAACAATTTGACCAATCCGTTATTCTGTGGAGACGATTTATTCCTTGTTCGAAGAGTGTACGTTTTGAAGAAAAACGCCGACTAAGAGGCCGAGGGGTAGTACGTTCCAGAGGAGTACACCTTTAAGGAGGAGAATGCGCTTGAAGGCTTTTAGTGTGTAAGTTGTTTGGTATGGCGTAGTACAAAGGAGAGTAATGGCTACGCTGGAGACCTTAAAGCTGAGAGGCGGCAAAGGTTCAGCGGTATTTCGTGGAAGAGAGGTAAAGGCCCGATGGGGATAATAGGGAAGGGAGAGACAAATGTTCTTGATGATTTTGGCTTTTGTTCAGCATTATTCTGTGTTGTCTAGCATATTTTGAGTCCAAAAACGTTCAGACAGCTGTAGTGCTTAAACAAAAGCAAATCAAAAGCGGAAAAGTCTAAGCTGAATTTTTATTTTTAGGGCTCGGCAGATTAAAATGAATAGCAAATTACGTTTTTTATATACACGCCCCTAGAGAAACTTTTGCCAAAGGGAGTACTACGAACAAAACCAGATGCTGAGACCATCAAAAGGCCGCAGAGGATGGACGAAGGCCGCGTGAAGCGGTACGAAGTGCTAAAGAGTGCAATGTGTGCGTTTTTCTTATTATAACCGGAGGAGTTTTGTGTGCCTGTAACGAATGGGGATAACTTTGGTCTGTTGAGCAACATGATTGCTGCAATGCATTCTTAAACAATTAGCATAATTCCGCCCCGAGCATTAAGGAAAGCAAACGGGAGTTGGGATTTTCGTAGAGGCCAGGATGTGGGACAGTTCTAGATGAATGCGCAGGACAGTTCACCGCAAAAGCTTAGGCAGGGCAGGATGAGGTTACGGGCTCAGGATTCGGTTGTTCCATGTATGATAAAAGCTGTTTCCATGGAAGAAAACCATTTTTACCTAAGGCTTTGAATCATACAAAGCGGCGTTGGTGAGCTATAAACAACCGATTTTTAAGTCTGTCCGGCAGGTGCACAACGAGATGAGACTATGTTGAGCGGGCTAAAGGGAGTCCGATTGACAGTTTCCTCTAGCTCGTGGCAACGTATGTTCTTGGAGCTCGTCAGGAGAAAAACCGAATCGTTTTGACAGCGTTCGCCGGTGTAGATGAATGATTGTGTGCCTGTTCACAGGTTAACGGGAGATATGATGAGAATGAAACGATAGACAAGATTTAATGCGGCGGCCCTCGAATAGGAGCGCACCCCTTGGAGATTCCAGGATGTACGCAGCTGCTGTCTAAGACACCTGTTGGATTTTGGTAGGGGGAAACCGCCCACTTTCACTGTTTAAGGAACCAGCTGCTGACACGGGGCGGATTTGACTGAAACTCCTGAGTGCTATGCACTCTATTTCAGGTTTCAGCGTGCAGCTGTGCTACGTGATCCTGGGCTTGAGTCCACCCTATTGAGTGATTTTGGGCAGAGGCAGCAGCTTTTTTGCTAACAGTGCGCATAGTATAAAAAACCCGAGTTAGCTGCATGTTCCTGCAAATCGGATTTGACCGTCAGCAAAGTCGGCCCTAAGGTGTAACGGTGGCTGTATCCGAGATGATAGCGTGTAGTGAATTATTATTCTTGCCATCGCGTTGAGAAATTTAGGGACGTCTTGGTATGATAAAGGAATTTGGCAGCCCTGACGAAAATGGCGGGCTTTGTTCCTGAACCTTGTTCATGATACTGATGCTTCTTGAGTGTCTGTTGAGAAAGTAGGATACAAAAACGGATGTCTCCCTGAGAATATTGAACTCAGCAAACTGTGGTTTGCAAAGCCATCAGATTTGGAAAGGACCGCAAAAGCAACTGAGACCACTGAATAGAGTAACTAAGTCAATGTGGACAAGCAGTGCAAGCGTCATGCAGTTCATTGTGTAGTGGTAGAACAGGAGTTGGCTTCTGGATGTAACGTTATTCAACCGTGGTACATACGCTGATGCAAACCAGGCAATAATAAAAAATATACCGCCATTATTCGCATGAAAGGCGCGAAATGCTCAGTGAAAAGTTGCAAAAGTAGAGCATGTACGAGAGGTTTGTGTTTGCCTAGTTTGAAAGTCCAGAGAAATTGATTGGACGGCCAGTCAAAAAGGCTCCGACGGGCCCTTCCCAGAACCTCGAACAAAAGCTTCATCTAACCAGTTTGAAACTAGCCTCCGATATTGTGCTACAAAATGCAGCAGTAGAAACATCGATTGCTGGTGACCGCCTTACTGAAGTTGTGGATATACCGGGCGCAATTTCCACGCCGACAAAGGCGGTTCTAACGGCGTTTTGACCTCCACTCGCGACTTAGAGGGTCAACATAATGAAAGCGGTGGCGGTGTACCTGAAAATCCTACGCAGACTGGGGTAGCCATGCTGATTGATAACTGGTCGTCAGTCCGGACAGAGAACACAATCGACTGCTGTTGAGCAGGCCACGAAAACCTTCCCAATTCCGGGATGTTCTCGATGAACACAGGATACTGCTTTTCTTCAAATCGTGAACCTCGTCAGTACTTCTTATGTTAGGCAGAATTAACACAAAATCCAACTTTACGGTCGAAATCGGACGATGCGAAGGCCAATAATTCTAACTCACGGGATTGGTAAATAGATAGTTTGGTAAATAGATAAACAGCCACTGACAGACAAGAACAAAACCGACCCGGGAAACGTGGGCAGAAGCCTCGATCCTGTGTATCAATCCGTGACTCCGTGAATCCGTATACTGACCATCTCCGAGCCGAGGTCTCAATGGTCGAAAATGCGGGCTCAGCAGCCAATCGTGCTACAGATATGCTACACGCCCGTTGCCGGTGCCGCATTCGGAGCGTGTCCAGATTTCAAGATTACGACACATTTTATGAAGTTTTTGTCTGTTTTTTTTTCGTTCAATACATTTAATATAGCCTTTGTATTTCTTCTGCAGAACGAATGGGCTTGAGTGGACCAGACCAGAGCTGAGGCGTTACCTTTATCACGCCCATGGGTGTTTTGACGCAACGACCCGTCTGAGTGTCACGGATATATTGGTGGCCGTAATAATGTGAGAAAGCTCAAATCAACCCTTCGAACGAGATCGGATTTTGTTCTCTGTTGATACCACGTTGAATACATTGTACATTCGCGCGAAAAGTAGCCATATTCGGTGGACCAACGCCTAAAACGATGTCGAAAATCGGGGCACTAGCTCTTCCTTGGTGTTCACGCATGCACCTTGGACTCGGATAGAAGGGGTAAGATCCAAATCAACCTTACCAAGTGCAGAACCATTGACTACACTGTGCGGTGGTCAGCACTGGGTAGACAGAACCTCCATACGCATCCCCTGCTGATTCGGGATGGTTTAACACTGGCTTGGTATATCAAGTTCTTCATGTTGGTTTCCGGCGTAGATGTAGCTGATTGGGTTGTCCTTCGGCAAACGTAGCCAACCACGCATAAATTGCCTGATGTAGTTGTCCAACCATTTGAGCGTGCTTCGGTGGATTTGAGCACAAGTGAATACGTCAGCCTCGGTATCAGATAGTTCCTTTTGATCTTCATTCCCTACTGTGGCTTCAATGGGACATACCTAACCTTGTTGAGCAGTTTCAGCAGCTACTGCCGGTTGTTGCAGGCTCCTTTCCATTTGAAAGTAAAGGGGACACTCATATATGTCGGACCAAGAGGAGTGATGAGTTCCTCGGTGAAGCAAAAACGTCCGACTAAGACCGCGGCCGCCCGATGTTTTCTCTCTTCACATCACCATTGCCTTGGACTTTCGGTCGCTGGTCGTCATATCAGCTCTTCATAACCCGACCGCAGCAGTTTCAAGCTTTTCTTTAAGACGAGCCTCACTTTCTTCATATTCAGCAAGGGATGATCATCAAACAAGGTGTCATAAAACTGGTATCTTAGTTGCGGCGTCGAGGATCCAAGAACCTCATCCATTGTCATGGTGAAAAAAATCGCTCAGTTGTAGCACCTTTTCGGTGCCTAACTGTCATGCCACCCGAAGGTTGCACGAGGGCTGGGATACTGCCAGGTTACCCAAGCCCATACAGGGGAAGTCGAGAGGCAGAGGACCGGTTCGAACCACGAACCTTCCGACCAGTAACTTCGCGCTCTGAACACTTGGGCAATGTTGAACAACAGTTGGGCAGATGAATCCTTCTACTTCACCCTTGTGGCAGGGAACCTACCACTTTACAGACTTTTTTGCAGTGAGCTCAGTCAACGGGACTGGTAGGCCTAGTTGTGGTGCGACGGTTTACATACTTCGGCAGTCGATTGAACTGTGATGAAGAACATCCACATAGTATCCACAGTCTTTCTCACTGAAGTCTCAATTTTCTGGTCCTTCAGGTTATTGATTGCAGCGAGTTTGGTAGCTGTCTTCTTATCAAGCTTTTGAATCGAAGACTGGTTAGGACCCCAGGTTCGGATGCCGTGGCTGGGAACACGCTGACACTCCCGACCCTCTCCCCCCTTAATGGCAGCGAATGACTTAGCATAAGGGTGCGCAAAAATCAAGATTCAATTACTTGTGCAGTCTACCTCCCAAGACAGGGTCTTTGTGCCCCTGTCCGCGATCAGCCGGAGGCATTGCAAGAGCTGGCGGCTGGTCGGTGTCACTGATTTCCGTCCCATACTGATTGAGCGCTTGAAAATGTTGTCACTTCAAAATGCTTGCGAAAGGCCACCACCAGGTCCCTCGCATCTACTCTTTTTTATTTTTGCCCTGATGTGAGTCGGGCACCTAGAGAAGTTACTAACTGCACCCTACACCTCATCTGTCTCTTTGTATCCACCATTCAGATTTCGTTTTCATGTTTTTGTGGCAGTTTTTGATGTAACTGGGGCAATAAGCTGCTCTCGCGTGCATTGTAGACTTGATAATAACTAAAAAGAACAAACATTCAGCCGTAACGCCTGGTGTCTGGCTGCCACACCATCAAAATCAAGATTCAATTACTTGTGCAGTCTACCTCCCAAGACAGGGTCTTTGTGCCCCTGTCCGCGATCAGCCGGAGGCATTGCAAGAGCTGGCGGCTGGTCGGTGTCACTGATTTCCGTCCCATACTGATTGAGCGCTTGAAAATGTTGTCACTTCAAAATGCTTGCGAAAGGCCACCACCAGGTCCCTCGCATCTACTCTTTTTTATTTTTGCCCTGATGTGAGTCGGGCACCTAGAGAAGTTACTAACTGCACCCTACACCTCATCTGTCTCTTTGTATCCACCATTCAGATTTCGTTTTCATGTTTTTGTGGCAGTTTTTGATGTAACTGGGGCAATAAGCTGCTCTCGCGTGCATTGTAGACTTGATAATAACTAAAAAGAACAAACATTCAGCCGTAACGCCTGGTGTCTGGCTGCCACACCATCCGAAGGAGGCACGAGTGCCGGGATACTGCCAGACTGGCCAAGCGTGGACGGGAGCAAGCGAGCTATCGGGGTTCCGTCCGAACCACTGACCTTTATTTCAGCAAGTTCGCACCTTCACTCAGCTATTCCGAACCCGAACATCGTAGATACTTTGTCAGCAGACATTTGCTGCATTGCTGAGGCTCACTTGTAAGACCCAAGGACAGTTACGAAGATTAGGTATCGCCGTCTTAACTCCAAAGACCACGAATTTCGAGTGACCACAGTTGCTGTGGTTCGTTGCGGAGGTGTTTGTTTGGTTCTTAGTTTCCAACCTGAAGTTGCTTTACTCGGTTGGATGCGTATTAGCAGTCGACCCTATGTTGTCCAACTTATTTGGACGACTGTCCACCATAAGCACTCGTGTTTGTCAAGCTACCACGCGCCACGTATTTCAGATGTCCTCTGTTGTTTTGACTCAGCAAAAGGCTATCTCTATCGAAAGCCAACCACCCTCTGGCTCACGACAAGGAGCTCACATACACTCGTGCTATCTTACAATGCTCATAAGTTTGCATATACAGATGTCCAAGAGCAGTCCTAACCTACACATTACGCCCTCGCGTTTTTAAGCACGAATGTTCTAAGCCTCGCACAGCAATTGGAAACGGTTAACAGACTGGTTTTGTTGGACCATTGAAGGCATTTGGAAGTGACGTACACTGCCTTTCCGAGACGTGTTTAAAGGATCCGTCTGCTATTTACAGTTTGGCCCCCACTCGGATTATATTCGTGACTCATGTGACTCTGCCACTCTCGCTTTGGGACATGCTGGTGTTTGTATTGTTTTGATTGTAAGAGCTTGGGTGGATTCCACTCGGCAGCCATCTGCGTGAAGTAAGGCTTGCATGCTCACTTCAGACAAACATAGCGAGGAGAACGTTGCACCTTTGTCATGGCTGCATGCGCACCAATAGTTGTAGGTAAGATGGGATGTGACTTTTTACGGATGTCTACCTCGGTTGGTTCAGAAAGTGCAGATATCAGTCCTGGATTCAAACGCCAGAGTGAGCCGTTTATCAGCCAACTAGGCACGCCTGGCTGGTTGTTTCGGTCCCGTTATCATCCGGTCTAATTATATATAT